TTTTTTTTAATCCCTCATTCCCTTCTTCCCTCTCCCCCTCCTTTCCTTTCTTTGTTTCTGTTCTGGAAATTAAACCCAGAGCCTTACACATGCTAGGCAAGTACTCTACCACTGAGCTATATCCCTAATTCCTTTTTCTTCCCCAGTTTTTTAAATTTTGAGACTAATTCTTACTAAATTGCCCAGGCTGGCCTTGAGCTTGTTCTGTAGCCCAGGCAGGCCTTCAGCTCATAAGTACTCTTGCCTCAGCCTGTCTGAGTGGTAGGATTACAGGCATGTACCATGATGCCTGGAGAAGCTTTTATTTTTGTTAGGAGGCTGAATAATTTCTTAAGCCTATAACAGAGCCACTCTTAATGCTAACAAAACTCTCTGATGTTTAACTTTTTGCAAAAGATATTGGCTTTGAAATATCTAACTGCTTACCTAGTGGTACCCACCACACTTTATGAGTCTATTGTTTGCTATGTGTGAAAAGCAAGTGATTTTTCTATAGAAGTAAGTCCACACGACACCAGCCCACAGAACTTGCCCCTTTCAAGGATGGAGAACGGCAGAATGGTACAACTGTCCATTAGCCCAGTGTGGCCCTTTCTGTCATTCAGTGAAAATATGTAGGAGCTTTCATGGAGACAGAGCTTAACATTAGCAAGGGGTGAGCAATTCACCATGGAGTTCTGGAGTGGGGTAGGAGAAGGTATTCAGAGCAAGGACTTCTAGGAATTCTTGAAGATCTTACCAGGACAGTTGCAGCCTGTGAGGATGTACAGTAGTAGACAGGTAGGAATGTACATCATGCGCTTAGAGGGGGACTGTGGAGGATTCTGGCTTAACACATTACAAAGAGAGGCTGTGTCCTTACCAACTCAGGCTGGGCTCTGCAAGGAAGAGAATACTCTATAAATCATGGCATGTGGTTTGCCATGGCCCCTGGGCCCTTCTGGCCTCTGAATGAATTTCTGCCCAGTCAGGAAAAGCTGTTTCCCCAGTTCCAAATCTACATTGGATAAGAACAGCCCATTGACTGTCATTCAGTGAAAATATGTAGGAGCTTTCATGGAGACAGAGCTTAACTTTAGCAAGGGGTGAGCAATTCGCCATGGAGTTCTGGAGTGGGGTAGGAGAAGGTATTCAGAGCAAGGACTTCTAGGAATTCTTGAAGATCTTACCAGGACAGTTGTAGCCTGTGAGGATGTACAGTAGTAGACAGGTAGGAATGTACATCATGCACTTAGAGGGGGACTGTGGAGGATTCTGGCTTAACACATTACAAAGAGAGGCTGTGTCCTTACCAACTCAGGCTGGGCTCTGCAAGGAAGAGAATACTCTATAAATCATGGCATGTGGTTTGCCATGGCCCCTGGGCCCTTCTGGCCTCTGAATGAATTTCTGCCCAGTCAGGAAAAGCTGTTTCCCCAGTTCCAAATCTACATTGGATAAGAACAGCCCATTGCATACATACCTGCTGAGTGAATATATATTATATGCAAAAAGATGACAGCCCATCGGAACCATGTCAGGAGGCATTGTCATTATGGATATGATGGTATGTTTTGAGACCATTTTTATTTGGTGGTTTACAGCCACAGGTACATTTCCTCAAAAATAAGACAGAAAGAAAGAAAAAAGGAAGAGTCTAGCGTAGGAATATTTAATATAGAGGATCTTTAAAAAAAATTCTGTGGGCCTCCTTCCTGAACATCCTAAGATTTCATGTAATAGAACTACTTATGTGTGAATTATTTCTCAGAAGAATGTCATACATTTAAAAAAGTGGTTACTTATAAATATGCATGAAAAGATGAAGCAACACTGACTTTTTGTTGCTGATTTTTTTGAGACAGACTCTCATACTGTAGCCCTGGCTGGCTTCAAATCTGTGGCAATCCTTGTGCCTTCCCACCAAGTGCTGGGACTACAAACCTGAGCCACCATGCCTGGCAGTGCTATTGACTCTAAAGACGCACACTGAAATCAGTCCTTCCTGGGCTAGAGACTCAGTGGCAAAGCCCTTCTCTGTTAGTTTCATTTTCAAAGTTGGCCCCCAGTGATGTAGTTCCTCCAGCAAGGCTCCACCCCTAAAGTTTCTATGCTCTTCCCAAACAGCATTACGGTAAGCTGGGGACCAAGTGTTCAAATACATAAGCCTAGGGGGGACATTTCATATTCAAACTATAACTTCCTGGCATACCTGAGGCTCTGCAACGCTGAACAAAAAAAGCAATGTTTCCATCCCAACAGACATACAAGAGGTGTTCTTGAGATAATCTTTAAAGAAAAGCACATTATTGCTTGATGGGGCTGAAGAGATGGCTCTCCTGTTGACGGTGCTTGCTGCTCTTGCAGAGGACCCATGTTCAATTCTCACTTCTGGACTCCTCAAGCACTAGACATACATTCACAAAGACACACACACACCCCCCAATGAAAACAAAATAATAAATAAAAATAAAACAAATAAAGCTTAAAGATATTGACATTGACAGAACAGTTCATAGACAAATATTTTGTTCTTTCAACTTCCCATTCTTACCCTAATCAAATCCTCATTCTAGAAAACCCATCTGATCCCCAATATTAAGCTGGATCTGCATATATATGTGCCTTATCTACATATCAAATTAAAACTGGCTTATGCCTTTCTTTATCTTACATCCACACTTAGACACAATTGTTTCTCAGAATGTAGGTGTAAATCATGGGTGAGTTTTGAAACATTGTCTTGTTTCTCCTCATTGTGGGAGGGTAGAAAGGGGACAGGCGGTGATTCTTTCACTCTCTGAACCCCCTGCTTTGCTTCTGCTGTTGATGCCACTCCTTAATCCTCCTGTGTTTTCAGGTGCTCTGCTATGGGAAGCAGCAGCATGGTGTCCCGCATTTCAAACATCATCGTCCCATTCTCTGGGCAGTTCATCAAAATTTGGATCTTCCTGCCACAGGTCTTCATCACTTTATAGACACTAGGATAGCCAATTGCCATCTCTATTTTTATTTAATGGAGATCAATTAATCATTGAAGGTTTGTAGAAACAGGATGAGTAGCTCACTGGTCGGTAAGTAGGGAGGTGGTGGTGGTTTTATTGTTTGATGACTGCCAATTAATACTCTGCCTACAAGAAAAGGGCTTCTCTCCCCCTCAGCCTGGAGCCAAGCACTTGAGCAGAGAACTCTTCCCTGTGTCCCTGCGCAGGCTTCTGCCCCAGCACCTAGCCCAGCCCTTGTCCTTGTACTCCACAATAGGCCTGCTGCTCCAGAATAATCTTGGCATCTGCCTGTTCCCTGAAGAGTCTGTGGAACTCTGAGAGGCTCTTCATGGGTGAGGCTCCCTCTGAGTCCTTGTGGGCCTGGCAGTGGAGCTGTTGGCTTTGGAGAGTGAGCACATTTGTGCCCAGAGCCTCAAGAAGGGACTGAAAGTTGGGAAGGTGGGTTGGATCACGGTTATACCTGGGAGCTGAAGAGGGTAGAGGTCTGGGATGGTGGTGCCAATGCTGCCATTTCCAGCAAGGACTTGGAGGTACCCTCAGCTTAACAGCCTTTCCTTCCTCCTAACTTTCTCTGCAGTTTCTCTTTCACTTCTCGGGCTCCTTCAGTGCCCCATGTTTTTCTGACTGCTCCTTCTACAAGATACCATGGTGTCTCCTCCATTCTCCTAAGTTCTTTCCTCTCTTCTAAGATGCAGACCTGTTATCCTATGAGCCTCGTGGTTATTCTCTCCAGATGTCTTTGGATCTGGTCAATGATTTAAAGTCTATCTTCCTCATGTCTCCCACTTTTGGTCAAGGATAAGTCAGTGACCTCAAGCACAGCACTTGAACATTGGCTTTTTATTTATCCTGTTGTTCTCCCCTGCCTCTTTTTAATCGTGTCTGTCAGTTATCACATCTCACCTTCTCCCTGCTTGCCTGCATACTAATATATTTGTGTGTAGTATGTGTGTATATCTGTGTGCATGTAGCGACCACAGGTCAACTTCAAGTGCTGTTCCTGAGGAGCCAATCATCTGTTTTTTGAAGCAGGGTCTCTCATTGGCCTGGATCTTACCAAATAGGCTAGGTTAGGGGGCAGCCAGGCCTGGGAATCTACCTATCTCTATCTCCCCAGAACTGGGATTACAAGTATGCACCACTGCATTCAGCTTTTTGATGTAGGTTTGTTGTGAGGTATATCACCAGAGAAGACCACTCAAAGTTTTGCTGAATGAAAGTTTTGCTGACCAGAGGCTACACAAGGGTGTCAGAACCCAAGTGTGTAAGTTTTTATACAGAGAAACCATAACCAGGGGTTAAAAGTTTAAGTTCCCAAGCTTACGGGCAGAGAGCCCCCTTAATAATTTCTATTCTATTAAGCAACAATTACTATTTTACAGAAGCAAGCCAAGCATAACCTACAGAAGCCATAAATCTGCAGTTAGCAGGTACACTCTGGAACACACTAACTTGTTCCCAAGACAACTGGGGTCCTACTGATGTGTGTTCTCATACCCTGGGCCAACTGCCTGATAATTTCAGAGGCTAGAGTCAGCCTAAACTTTAACATGGTGTAGCTATGGTCAAGAAGGTGCCATATCATGGGTTCTGGAGAGTGAATTGAAATCCTCATGCTTGTGTGGCTAGCATGTTATTGGCTGAGCTATCTTCTCAACCCTATACTAACATTTTTGTAAATACACTAACATAACCTCAAAAGAAAATAAAGTGTTCAGTCCCACCAGAGTCACTTTGTCCACATATGCAGCATGCAAATTCCTCTTTGGGTCTCAGTGGCTTAGCGGAGTATCTCCCGCACCCTAGGAGAGGTGCTCAGGAAAGTTTGCTTCCTTGGGGTATTAGAGCTCAGCCTCTTTCACCAGCTGACTCTGAGGTTGAGAAAAAGTATTTGTCAGTGTAACTTGTATTTTTTTTCTCACCCCACCCATATTGGCAGCAACCCTCCATCCTGTATTAAAATCAGGAAAGTAGTGGTCACAAAGAACATGACAGAGGACTCAATTATCTCTAGGCCCAAATTGTTATGAAAAGTGGAAAGTATGTGGTGGGGTACAAAGTAAACTGTGAAGATGATCTGATGAGGCAAACAAAATTGCTCATCCTTACCAACAACTGCTCAGGGCTGAGGAAATCTGAATAAAGTATGATGCCATGTTGCTCAAAAGTAATAACTGCAGTGGTCCAGAAAATGGTGCAGTAAGTACCCTGTTCCTGTTGAGCCATGTGATTCTGAAATCACTGAGAATTTTGTTGATGGCTAATCTCAGTTGCCAACTTCACTGGATCTGGAATTAATTAAAATGTGAGAGACTTCCTTGATCAGATTATTTGAAGTCAGAAGACTTGCCCTAAATGTGGGCAGCACCTTTGGTGGCAGTCCATATAAAAGGACCTGGTAGAAGGAGGTTTTGCTTTTTGCCTGCTTGTCTTCTTTCTTTCACTGGCAAATTTATCTATCTTATTGTTGTGGCATTTATTTGCCGATATTAGAACCAACTTCTTCAGGTTCCAGCAGATATTAAAGACCAATAGACCTTCAGGAATCCTCCAGGCCTTCAGTGCCAGATTGTGACTGCTGAGATGTCCAGCCTCATGGACTGAGAAACTGCTGGATTCTCAGCCTCTCCAGTATGAGACAGACATTGCTGGACTACTAGGACTCTGTCCTATAATCCAGTCTAATAAATTCCCATATATATTTATTATCAGTTCTGTTTCTTTAGAGAAGTCTGATTAATACAGTCTTGCGAGAACAGATTGGAGTACCAACTGGAGTGAAAGTAAGCTACCAAATTTTAAATTTAGTAAGACTTGTTTGTAGAAAAAGAAGGAATATGGGTTATCACACTTATATGAGGAGGTGTTCTGGGAAAGTCCACCATCCATTTTAGGGTACAGAATTTTGTAGAAGGATCTTTAAGTTAGCCCTGTTTTCTGACTGCTTCTTAGATTGACGTATCTCCAAGATTCCACGGTGTCTCTCCCTGACTCTCCTAAGCTCTCTCCTCTCTTCCAAGCTTCAGATCCATCTTCCCACTAGCCTCATGGTTATTCTTTCTAGATGCCTTTGGAGCTGGCTCTTTGTGTTCCTCATTAAAACAGAGAGAAATGGAGGCTGGAGATATGACTCAGCAGTTAAAAGCACTGACTACTCTTGCAGAGGACTCAGGTTTGGTTCCCAGCACCTACATGGAAGCTAACAAACATTCTGGGGGATCTGATGCCCTCTTCTAACCTCTGCGGGCAATGCACAAACCTGACACACTTACATGCATGTAGGCAAAACACTCATACACATAAAGTAAAGTAAAAAAAAAAAAGAATTATCAAGATGTTTTTTAAAACAAGAAGGCAAAACTCACAAAAAAGGACAGATCCAAAAAAGCAAGCTGCTATAAATTTACAAAAAACAAATTAAAAAATTGTAGGGAAGGATATCTGTAAGGTTGTGTTAGGGACTGTGGAATAAAAGAGATTGTTTATTATTTAATGTAAACAGCCTTGGTTTGAAGTGCTTTGTAAAAGTTAATTCTCATTGTTTCCCCCATTTACAAATGAAGAGACAGACTTGCAGAAAGAAATTCTTAGCCAAGGCTTCACACACCTTAAAGGAGACTGTAGTCCAGATATCATGCCTCTGGTGCATACCACAAACTAGACTAAGCTAAAGGGAATGCAGTGGTCCCTCACTCCCTGTCCCTGAGGGTCAGGCTCCTTCTCCAAGACAGCCTCTAACTCCAGGATCTCACCCATGTTTTGAGGAACTCTCCTGCTGTGAATGTGTTTAACACCATAGACACTGCCTGCTGTGTGGAATGAGTTTTACAACATGATTAACTTTCCCATTCAGCTTGTTTGTCATGTCAAATTGCCCAGGGGAGCCAGTGTTTTCACTTTGAGGGATTTTCACATTAATCTATACACTTTAATTTTCCCTTTTGAATGGAGGCCCATGAAAAACACTCACTCTGTACATTTGTTACCAATCATCACTTCATCAAAAAGAGGTGGGCAAATCTTTTGGTTCACTTGGCAGAGACCTTTAAAAAATATTTTATCTATGGCCCTGCCCTCACTTCCCTGGGCCTGCATGACCCATGGGCCTCTCTCCTGGGTAAATCCATTGTGCCCTCTGTGCCTTGACTCCTCCAGCCTCATTCACCCTCCCATCTCTCCCACCCATCTCTTCTCCTAGCCTGGGTGTTGTCCCATTCCTTGTCTTGGTGCCCCAGACACCAGGGGAACCACCACTGCTTCCTGATCCTTTGCATCCAGACCAACCCAGTGCCTGCACAGGGTCCCCAGGAGCCCTCTGGGCCTGGCCCCGCCCTCACCTCCCCCTGCTTCTCTGGGCTGCACAACCTGCCAACCTCTTTCCTGGACACCGGGGCTGACCTCTCGGCTTCCTGATCCTTTGCATCCAGACCAACCCAGTTTCTCAGTGCAGTCCCCAGGAGCCCATGGGGCCTCTTCCCGCTCCCATCTCCCTTTGTATCTCTGGGTGGCACTGCTACCAGCTGCCTGAGACCAGCATCTTTCCCTGCCCAGCTCTCAGGCCAGTCCAACCCCCAGATTCCTGAGGACATCTTTCCTGGGGGGATCTGACCTTAGGAGAAAGCCTGAGAGCATCTGATCCACATCTGACTTGGGCCTCTGTGGGAACTCCTGAAGACAAAAGCAATCTGGCCACTCCAATATAAAATCAAAAGAGAGAACTGGAAGCTTAGATGAACCAGATTTTCATGCCCAAAAAGTAAACCACAAAGACACATAAAGTT